CAGACCGGTCCTAGACTGTTTCGTATCTCTCGAGCAACCGCCGCAGTTCAACTCTGGACTGCCTCTGGATATTGAAGAAGTGGAGAAAAACAAAAAAAACAAAAAAGAACCTCAAGTGGAGCTTTAACAATCTGCCCTTTTAACCAGTGTTGTCCAGGGGAGAGCGCGAACGCAGTCCCCACTACCATAAATTATGCAGTCGAGATTCCCACATTTGGGGAATTCGCAGGGGTCAGCACAACCAGAGTGCAATGGCCGAGCCTCGCCCTGGGTGAACCACCTTCCTGATCATGGTGTCTCCCTGCCAGGTAAGTATGAATTCCCAGGCCTTCAGTCAGAAGCACCCTGTCCCTCTCCCCAATCCTCACCAGCGGTTTGCCAGTCAAAAAAGGGGCTTTTTTTTTCTTTTTTTTTTTGCACGCTCCGCATTCCGGCTCCATGAGCCATAAATGTACATAATGCGCCATCCCCGAATAGTGGACGGATCAGATGTTAAACTGACAGAGGAACAGGGGTTCATTTTTGTCTTGTTTTTACACCACAATTCTACCCAGGCTAGTATAACACATGATCACCTACAACACCCACTCACACTAGCTCCATTATCACCTTCTGCCACACAAGACCACTACAACTCTTTCATTGAACACTTTAGGAGGGTGCACCGTTCCCAGAAGTACTGCAATACCGGGTCGATGCGTGGAGTGGACGGAGCAAGCCCCTACTCCATCTCCCAGGACCAAAAATCAATTTAATATGTGGTGCCCGGGTAGGGCACGTATCAGATATTAAACTGATAAGAACAGATACTACACTTGATCTTAGCCAAAAGGCCGAGAAGCGATGACGCAGCGACGCCGAGGCGGGGGAGCCGGCAAAGGCCACGCCCACCTGGGCCCGCGGCGAGAGGGTCTAAGGTCGCCGGCAAACAAGCTCAGCTCAGATTGGTTGACACCGAAAATGGATCACAACAGAGTGCACAGCACGACACTCTGGAGTGCAACCTGGGATTTTGGATCATCAACATTCCGCCTTAAAAGTGAGCGGGCGGACCAAAGCGTCCGTGGTAGAGACTTGAAACTCTGAGGGATGGTAGGACCGGCCCGGTACTACAACCTCACCAAGGCTCGCCCCGATCGGCCCCAAGGTGGCGCTGCAGCGATCAAAAGTACGAAATGGCTCGTAACTCCTCGACCGTCGGTCGCAGACCCAAGTGTCTTACATCACCGGAATCCTTGGCTCGAGCCGAACAAGATGCATGCCTCGGATTGGGTGGTCGCGCTGGCGAGATTTTCGGGTATTTTGGATTTTCTGAAAAACCTACTTTTGCACACTAGTCCTAGGTTTTTGGCCCGATCTGACCCAAACCGGTGCAGAAAGATTCTCTGGAGTCCGACTGCCAACAGGGATCGGGAAACAGTTGGAATTTCCATCCACGTTGGCGACGGTACGCCAAAACGTTGGGGGTGGGCGAGGCGGGCTTTACTTAAACGGCTATAACTCTCCAACGGAATGAGACAATTGCACCCAACTCGGTACACCTGTGTACGGGCTCAGCCCGTGGTCACGTGAAGAGGAATGCGGCGACTGGCCACTTGGTGGCGCTGTAAACAGAAAAAAACACAACATGGGTGGCTGTATATCACGTGACGTTTCACACGTGCACAATGTTTTCATAGCACATGATAGAACTCCTCATTCCGAACAACTTTGCCTCCAGGACAACTGCTGTGAACTAAGTCGTCCGTCAAATATTGGAGACTATTTGAAGAATTGAGGAGAAAAAAGAAAACCCTCCTCACACAGACCGGTCCTAGACTGTTTCGTATCTCTCGAGCAACCGCCGCAGTTCAACTCTCTGGACTGCCTCTGGATATTGAAGAAGTGGAGAAAAAAAACAAAAAACAAAAGAACCTCAAGTGGAGCTTTAACAATCTGCCCTTTTAACCAGTGTTGTCCAGGGGAGAGCGCGAACGCAGTCCCCCACTACCATAAATTATGCAGTCGAGATTCCCACATTTGGGGAATTCGCAGGGGTCAGCACAACCCAGAGTGCAATGGCCGAGCCTCGCCCTGGGTGAACCACCTTCCTGATCATGGTGTCTCCCCTGCCAGGTAAGTATGAATTCCCAGGCCTTCAGTCAGAAGCACCCTGTCCCTCTCCCCAATCCTCACCAGCGGTTTGCCAGTCAAAAAAGGGGCTTTTTTTTTTCTTTTTTTTTTGCACGCTCCGCATCCGGCTCCATGAGCCATAAATGTACATAATGCGCCATCCCCGAATAGTGGACGGATCAGATGTTAAACTGACAGAGGAACAGGGGTTCATTTTTGTCTTGTTTTTACACCACAATTCTACCCAGGCTAGTATAACACATGATCACCTACAACACCCACTCACACTAGCTCCATTATCACCTTCTGCCACACAAGACCACTACAACTCTTTCATTGAACACTTTAGGAGGGTGCACCGTTCCCAGAAGTACTGCAATACCGGGTCGATGCGTGGAGTGGACGGAGCAAGCCCCTACTCCATCTCCCAGGACCAAAAATCAATTTAATATGTGGTGCCCGGGTAGGGCACGTATCAGATATTAAACTGATAAGAACAGATTTTTTCTTTCGAAAAGTTTTATTGTCACAGTGTCATTCCATTATTTCCATTTGCATGTACATTTTTTCTTTTAGATCACATTTTTACACATATTAGAAGGGACACATTATTTACTGTTAAAAGTTTCTTGTGTTTGTGTGTTGTGTAAAAAGTCCATGTTTGTTTTAAAAGAAAGGTAAATGGTTTAAATAATAGGAATAAAACAATAAAACATGTCAGATAAAAAACAATAAAACAATAAATTATGCCACATAAAACATCTCTTGTACAGGATCGAGGGTGAGTCCCTATCAAGAATGTCCATTCACTCCAGGTCTCCAGAACAGGCCCCAGACTCCTCGCTTCCAGCGCCCAGCGGAGATCCCCTCTCCTCCGGCCCGCTGGCCCGCTGTTCCCGTAGCCGGTGTGGTGAGGGTGCATCTACGGGCGGCCAGGGTCGGGGGTGGCCGGGACCTCTTTGGTGTGACCCCAGCCCCCCCATCCGAATAACGACGTCCGGCGCCTCCTGCAGCGCAGCAGATCTAACTAATTGCTCGCACGCGTGGAGGGGCACCGTAACGCGTTTCCCACCAGCAGGTTTCTGGTGGCCCAGATGGCATCCTTGATATGGTTGAGGGTGAGCCAGAGCGAGGTAAATTGCTGTGATGTTAGCTCCTTCAAGCCCTGACCCACCCCCAGGATGGCGAGCCTGTATCCCACCTGGGCCCGACCCGCCGGCAGGCACGGGAAAACCAGGGGGCTGGTCTTGGCCCACAGGTCCCGCGCAGCACCGCACTCCCAGAGCAGATGGTAGACGGTCTCCGGGGGAACCACATCCGGACCGTGGGCAGTGTGGGTTTTTGGCCATGCCTCTGGAGTGCATAACCGCCCTGACCGGGAGGATCTCATGGGCCACCATCCACGACAAGTCCTTAAGCCTGTTCTGGAGAGCTGGGTGGGCTGCGTTCCTCCAAACGTCTTTGGCCTCACCTAGGTGAGGCCTGGAACTGGACTCACACATTTCTCGATCCTGCACAAGAGAGACAAGAGACTTGTGGTTAGTTAAAACAGTGGCATCATTCGTTTCTAAAAGGTATTTCTTTAAAAAATTCTTAATAAAAAGATGTTCTTTTGACAGATTAAAAGACACTGGACATTTAAGATCAACGGGTAAAATTTTCAAAGATCTTAAAGGAGAACTCCGGGCAATTTTTAAGTTAATCTTGATCGTTAGACCTTTGTGAGTAGTGACTATAGAAAAAAAACGAACCGGATCGGTGCTTGCTACGCGGAGCTGCGACCGCGAATGCCCTGAGCTCTCACCCAGCTATCACGCCAGCTATGGGGGCATGGACATAAAGAGCGTTTTTGAGCCTCTTAACAGACACAAAATGCAATTAAAATGTCTGTCCAACATGAACAGGGACCCTACATGTGAACAAGATGCGTTTAGCAACTTAGCCATTGTTTCAACTCACCTAAATAGTCTTTTAGACGGCAAGCCGTAGTCTCGTGCTGCAGTACCGTGCTGTAGCCGGAAGGTAAACAATGTCCAGGTGGGAGGAGCGTTGATCATGACGTGTGTGCGACGACGCGACAAGTTATGATCAAAGTTGATTACAAGTGAAGAGAAAAGTAGTAGTAACGTAAATATGGAGAATTTAGAAGATTTTGAACAGATGGAAGAGGAGTTTGAGTTTGATGGTCGTCCTTATTTATTCGAACCAGAGTATACTGACGAAGAGCTAGCCTCACAAGAGTCGGAAAGAAGGAGACAGACCGCGGAGCAACCTGCAGATGAAGCAAATGCTTCAACGACACGAATTTCGTGCAACTGGTGGTGTTTGTGTGGGTGTTGTGACCCAATGCCTACCGAGGAAGAAAGCCTGTGCTGTAAAGAGTGGGATCTCTTACAGCCAGGTAACGAGAAATGTGTCACCTGTACCGAGGAATTTCCTGCTCTTATCCAAAAGACAGTGCTGGACACTTTCTTCTTCGTTCCTAAAATAAACTGGAAGAAACGTCCACAACCAGAGGGACCAAACGGGCAGCTATCCATAGAGTGAGTTTAATATGTGATTGATTACATATACATATTACATAGACATTTTATTTTTTATTGAATAATAATAATAATAATAATAATTCAGCATTTTCGCTAGTGAACTAACCATACGTTTGCACTCTTTGCCCCCAACCCCATTCCCTATAGCCAATACAGACTGGTGGCCTACCGCGTTGTGCTAGAATGGGCACTAAAAGGAGAGCGCCTTGGACGTGGCATTAGAAGACCATTACCTAGCTGTGTTGTATCAATGATCAGAAGAAAGTATCCCTCCCCCACTGGTACTTACATTGGATTTCAGGAGACAGAGGAGATATGCTAAATGCTTAGTCTGAATTTTACATTGTGCTTCTTTAAAAAGATTGTCATCATGATGTCATTCCTTATAATAAAGTAAGTAAATCAAAGTTCTTGTGCTCCTATGTTTTTACTAAAACAATAATAATGCAGTATTACTTACAGTTACAAACAAAACTTTATTTTACAACAATAAATGAAAGAACAGTGGATGCTTCATATTAAAAAAATGTCAAACATGGTCGTGTAACAATGGTTTTGCAAAGATCAAAAGCGTGATGTTTTATGAGCGACCAGATCACTCTTGTCCGGCCTTGGAATTGGAGCGATGTTCTGGAGCAATTTCCTTTGCCCTGGTTTACGAGGGGGTAAAGTGTCAGAGAAGATAACAGTATTGTCCTCTCTCCTCCTCAGCACACGCTCAACAAGATCATGGCGAAAGGCCTGTGTGGTATTTTCAAACATGGGTTTTGCAACCCATTGCTGACTCTGTCTTGAATATACCGCTTTGTACCGAGGTTGTCCTAAAATACATGAAATTACAAATTAAATACAGCTTATCCTTGGAAAACCTAAAGAGACTTGGTAATATACAATGAATGTGATGTCATGTAAAACATATTTATTTAAATGAGCATTTATTATATGATACCTTCTATTGTCTTCGCCTGTGGTCTCCCAACGTTGGTATTATGGTCAAGTACTGCAAGTTGGGTACGAGCCCTCATGCTGTCGTAACTGTAGTGAAGTCGCTTCTCAGCATATTTCAGCATGACCTGATGGTACACCTCCAAAGATCCTGTATAAATGTAATATCACACACTCAATGACCCTAATGTAACCGGTATTATTGCGTTGTAATATTTGAATCAATGTAAACAGATACCAGTATGCTTGAAGAGTGACATCTGCCTCAAGTCTCTAAGGAGATTTTTGTCCAACATCACTCCCTTCAGTGCCACAAAAGCTGCTGAATCTGGTCTCAGCCACTTTTTGCGCCTCTGTTCATCCCCTGTCAGAGTTGGGTGATTGCAGGTGTACTGAGCACCATCCTCCTCCCACCGGTGAATGCCACATATGTGGTGCAGAAGCGACTTCCATCTTCGTACACATTCCTTTAAAAATAAGATTGAAGTCATATTTTGAGAAATACTTTCCTGGTTCAAATATTATGTTATGTGCAAGGTAAATACTATTATAAATATTATCTATCACTGTTGTTACACTGACAAGAACATGTGTTGTTATCATTGATATAACAGTAACTATTCTATACCAAAAATATTGTATCGATGTTATGTATTATTTAATAATCTTACCTCTTTGTCACCTTTGCTTGTGCTGCATGACCAGTACAGATGGTTAGTGATTGACTTTATCCATGGCTGCAAGTCTTTGTTGTTCTTCTTATTGGATACAAGTACAAGTTTCTTCTTCACACCTGTACAAAACAGTCAAAAATTACATATAAAAAGTTAGTGAAAAAAATGAAAGAGAAAAACAACTTTTCTTGAGAGATACAATCCGTTGATTGTCAATTTAATTTACTCACTTTTGCTCACATGCCAGGGATCAAATTCATGTTGGATGCTAGGGTAGTTGTCCTTCATAAGTTTGCGGACAGATGGCGATCTGTCAGTGGTCACAACATCAACAACCACTCCCCTGTCAAGCAAGTAATCCAGACCCCTCTGAAATCCTAACACCTCCATAGCAACAGAGCTGGTTGTTTCTGTAACCTAGAGAATAATATTGACCGATCAGACAAAGCATGTCTACATTTGTTTTTGAAAACAATTACATAATTTGGTTTTACAAATCATAATAGATAACGTACTTGAACCAATTCAAAATGAATGATCTCTTTTGTGGCATCATCTTGAAATGAATATGTACAGTATTTGCTACTGAAACCTGTTGTGAGAAAAAAGCAGAGATGAATTTGTAACTATGATGTAGGGTCATACAGTATAATCAGTTTGTGTCATACAGTATAATCAGAATCATATCTATTCTAACTCGTGGAGTTATGATTTACAATTCCAGCAAAATGCTTACCTGGACTGTCACTTCTAGCATCCCCACAGAGCTCAACTTTCTGTCCTGAGGCACAAAGTTGCACAAGACGTTCAATTAATTTCTCGTGTCTATCTATGTACGCTTGTTGGATGACTGGTATTAGGTAGACAGATTGCATTGAATAATATTGAGTTTTCTTCGGAATTGGGGTATGAAGAAGCTCAGCCCAGTCAGAAATGGTGGTATGGGTGGTTCCTGTGAAGAAAGTGCATGCGCTGATGAGCAGGTTATTTTCTGCCATCCCTCTAATGTCTGGACATGAAGACCAACTTCCAGGGTGATCATTCAAGCATGTCCAAAGAACTCTGATTTGGCTTCCATGGGTTATAATCCTTTTGTTCTCCACTGCTGAGCCACAGGTCTGGCATGTGTTGAACAGTTCTAATAGTCTGGATTCATTCACAATCCACTTTCTGTCTTGTTCCGGTTCTTTTCCAGAGCCAGAGCCAGAGCCTGAACCAGAGGTTGATGTTGGAGTGTCGCTAGAAGGCGAAAAGCTTACGTCGGATAAAAGCATTTCCCCAAAGCTTCTGCTCATATCCAACGTTGTTGAATGTTCTTTATCGTCCTGTTTTTGAAATGTAAAATATATTTGTTGTATAAATAAATATATTTACATGTATTTTTTAAAAATGAATTAGGATTATCACATAAAAAATAACAGTAGTACAGCCTCAAAAGAACAGCCATTCAACTCACTTGTGCCAAATCTCCACTGGCTGTGTTGGGGACAGACAGATATGATGACATTGCATCCTGGCCCTTGATATTAGAAATGTATAATATTACACTCTAGTGATGGCAAATGTGTTAAAAAAAATTTGAAAAGCTTTGATCATTGAGAGGCTTACCATTGATTGTTCCCATGAAAGAGGTCGGGCGATATATGTCCCAGTTAGTGAAGGCTTTGTGCGAGGCCTTACAGTTGATGTCTCTGGACTAGAGAGAAGTAGGGTCAGGCAGGAGGACGGACCAGACTGACTTGATCTGGATTCACTTCCTCTTTGGAGAGCTTTCTTTGGAGTTGACTGTGGCACTCCAGCTAATTGTGATTCATTCAGATGCACACCAGCAGCATCAGTCTCCTGAATAAGTAGTAATTAATAATAAAGAAAATAATAGATTTATCCAACTGCACAACACAATAACATTTTCTACTTGTATGTATATCGAACATGTAAGATGTAAACAACACTGGTCCAGAAGCACTTCCTGTTTCAGTTTTCTAACACTACATAAAAGCTGGGATAAAATACAACCAACAGAACATTTAAAACTAAATCAAAAAGTTAAACAAACATCTTTAAGATGTTTCCTTTACATGTGAAATAAAGAAAACAGTTACAAACTGAAACAGTAAGTGCTTCTGGACCAGTGTTGTTTACATCTTGTGAAATGGTCTATATATGAAGAGTTCAGATGCAAAAGCCTCTAAATGCATTTTGAAATTTTCTTCTTTAATGATGATTTTTATCAAACTTGTATATTTAAGTTCAGTAATTTCACTTAAATAACAATTAATAGGTAATTATCATTGCCATTTAAGTGAAATCACTGAACTTAAATATACAAGCTTGATAAAAATGATCATTCTAGAAGAAAATTTCAAATGGCATTTAGAGGCTTTTGCATCTGAACTCTTCAAATAGTATTTCCCTAGTATATCATCACATATCTCCCCCTTCACCATACTGCACACACAATTTATTATCTCTAGCAAGTGCAATTTATTCTTATAGAAATTCGCAAAACACAAATATAATTCAAGTCAAAGAAGCTAGTGAAATAATTACAGCTTTGTAAATAAGATTACAAAAACATTCATGCACATCTCTACTCATGCCGCGTGTACCCAAATGGAAGAATATAGATGTTTCATTACCTGCACAGTGGTTACACCCGTCTTCGGAATGGCATTTTTCTTCAAACGGCCCCGCTGTGTTGAGAGTGTGTAGTCATCCTTGTCAAAATGTTCGCTGCAAATGCGGTAATCTTTAGCGCGTAGGACTTCTACGGGAGTTTGCACATCAAGTTTTAGTACAACTAGCCACAACTGCAGAATCTCCGGGTCATGAAAAGGAAGACGATGAAAACTTAAGCTCTTATATTTTCTCATTCTGTTGCCACAATTCGGAAATGCACAAACACGAACCATTTTTTCTTCACATGTAATCAACTCTGATCATAACTCGTCGCGTCGTCGCACACACGTCATGATCAACGCTCCTCCCACCTGGACATTGTTTACCTTCCGGCTACAGCACGGTACTGCAGCACGAGACTACGGCTTGCCGTCTAAAAGACTATTTAGGTGAGTTGAAACAATGGCTAAGTTGCTAAACGCATCTTGTTCACATGTAGGGTCCCTGTTCATGTTGGACAGACATTTTAATTGCATTTTGTGTCTGTTAAGAGGCTCAAAAACGCTCTTTATGTCCATGCCCCCATAGCTGGCGTGATAGCTGGGTGAGAGCTCAGGGCATTCGCGGTCGCAGCTCCGCGTAGCAAGCACCGATCCGGTTCGTTTTTTTTCTATAGTCACTACTCACAAAGGTCTAACGATCAAGATTAACTTAAAAATTGCCCGGAGTTCTCCTTTAAGTATGACCCCATCCAGAATCGGGTCATGGCTGCTGTCTTGTGTTCTCTGGATGGGGTCAGGGCGTATTTAATGTGGAGGGCAGTGAAGCGGCTGCCTAAAAACAGGTGGGGGTCTGGGAGCCCTTTTCCGCCATTCTCCTTCCTTTTCTTCACTACTTCTCTTTTGAGTCGCTCCCACTTGGACCCCCACAGGAAGTAAAACACTGCTCTCTCCAGGTCAATCAGGAAACTTCGTGGGGGACTAAAAACAGAACAGACAAGTAAAATCAGTGGTAAAATCACAGCTTTAAAAATTAAAATCTTGCCTTCAATCGTCAGATTTCTTAGTCCCCAAAAGCCCAGTCTTTGCCTAACTTTCCCTAACATGTCAGTCCAGTTACCCTGTCCTCCACCCTCCCTGTCAAATTTAACACCTAAAATTTTCAAATTATTATCTTTAAAATCCAAATCTAGTCCACCTTTGTCAACGTTCCCCCACGGCCCGAAGAGCTGGGCCTCAGACTTGCTCCTATTGAGCTTGGCGCCTGAGGCCCGACCGTACCAGTCAGTCAAGTCCATTGCTCTTCGTACCGATAAAACGTCCGTTGCTAAAAGGGTCACGTCGTCCATGTATAAAACGCAGGTTGCCGTCAGTCCACTAGTCCCTGGAATGCCTAGTCCTTTAATCCATTTGTCCCTTCTCAAGATTTGTGCCAGTGGCTCTATACAAGCCACATACAGAAGGGGAGATAAGGGACACCCCTGACGGACGCCGCTGTAGATATTAACAGCTTTGGATAAATGCCCATTAACTACAATTCTGCTGACCAGACTGTTGTACAGCAGTCCCACCCAGGCTATGAACCGCCCTGGAAATCCCATTTTACCCAGTACCTTAAAAAGGAACTGGTGCGAGATACGGTCGAATGCTTTTTCAAAGTCTAAATTTAGGACTACTAGCCGAAGGTTTCTGTCTCTCGCATAACAGATGGCGTCTCTGATCAGCACCAGGCTGTCCGTGATCTTCCTTCCTGGCACAGCGCATGCTTGATCCGGGTGGATTACGTCCTCTAAAACTGTCGACATGCGTGTGGCTAAAATTTTGCTAAAAAGTTTACAGTCGACATTTAAAAGAGTGATGGGTCGCCAGTTCCGTAAGTCAGTCTTGTCCCCTTTCTTATGTAAGAGTGAAACTATCCCTATTCTAAAGCTGTCAGGAAGTCTTTCAAGAGTCTCAAATTCTTTAAAAACAGTCAGTAAGTCGAAAGCTAAAATATCCCAAAAAGTCAAATAAAACTCCAGAGGAAGTCCATCGGTGCCGGGGGACTTTCCTCGTTTAAAACTTTTGAGTGCTTTGTGAATTTCTAAAATGTTGAAATCTTGAGATAAAATTGTACCTTCGCCTTCGACTTTCTTTTCTAAAAACTCTAAAACCTCCTGTAATGTGTCATTGTGGACTTCTTTGGTGCTGTATAGGTTTTCATAAAATACTTCAGTTTCCTTTAAAATTTCTTTTGTGGTGTAAACCTCCCTCCCTCCACTTTTCAAAGCTGTGATTGCCCCACCCCGTGAAATAATTTTTTTAAAGAAATACCTCGTGCACCTTTCACCTTCCTCAATCTCCTTCTCCCTGCTCCTTAAAATGACACCTTTGCTTTGAATTTCGGATAAAACTGACATTTCTTGCTTTATTTCTTTGATTTCTTCACTAAAATCAATCCCATCGTTTAAAAGGTTAAAATATCTCTGTAGTCGTTTTTGCAGCCCCATCATGCGTCGATTTAATCTATTCTTTTTGATTTTTCCTATCTTTCTAAAAAACTGTCTCGTCCGTTCTTTTACCATCTCCCACCACTGTGCACGTGAGTCGTAGAAGTCTTGGAGGGTCTGCCATTGGCTGAACTGCTCCCTGTACTCACTGACTACATCTTTATCTTCCAAAAGGGAGCAGTTCAGCTTCCACAGCCCTCCCCCTGCAGTCACACCAGTGGGGAGTGAAAGGGTGCATGACAGCATTGTGTGATCTGAAAAAAAGAGGGGGGTTAATGTTGCATCGGTTGGCAGGCAGTCCCGTGTAAAAACGTAGTCAATGCGAGAGGCTCTGGTGCCGTCACCACTGAACCAGGTGAAGCCCTCCTCTCTCTGATGCATTGCTTTAAAACAGTCCACTAATTTAAAATCTCTAACTAAATCCTGCAATAAAACCGACGTTTTGTCAACTTTAAAATCCTCTGTCCTCTTCCTGTCTTTCTTGGTTAAAACGCAATTAAAATCCCCTGCTACCACTAGGGGAGCCCTACCTAACATGTGGGGCCGCAGGTCTTCTAAAAGCTCATACCTATTGTTTTTGTCTGTAAAACCATACACATTTAAAATGTTAAAATCCTTACCTAAAAAAGTCAGATTAGCTAAAATTGCCCGCCCGTCCCTCACCACAGTGCTGCCCTTCACCAAGATATTAGGGTTTTGTATTAAAATGGCGACACCGTCATTTTTATTAAAATTGGACCCACTCCAAACGGAAACTCCTGGGGTCCAAATCTCCTCCCACTTTCTGTAATTGGATAAAAAAGGCAGGCCACATTCTTGTAATAAAAACACATCTGACTTAAAAGTTTTTAAAAAGGATAGGACACTCTGTGCTCGTATATTGCTCCTCACACTTCTCACATTGATGGTGGAGATAGTGAGAGCCATGAGCAGTATGGTTAAAAGGGTATGAGACATTTAAAAGCAACAAAAGGACTACAGAGATTTAATTAAAATCAGGTTATTTCTTGTTGCACTTGCCGTCCCTTTTCCCCAGAAAGCCTGGGATCAGGGAGGAAAGTGCTTGACGTCTCAGGGCTCACAGAGAGAACCTCTTGTGAAGCCTTTGGCGTCGATGTTCTTAGCTTAAAATGCAGAAAAGATACTTCATTAGGAGAGTCTGTGGGCCACACACGGTCTAGATCTTCCATGGGGGAACTATCTAGCCGGTGCGCTACCCGCAGCTTTTTCTCCTCTGTTTGGACCAGAGGAGATCTCGCAGTTCTTTTCTGCACTTGAGCATTGGGAAGAGAAGAATCTGTCTCACTCCCACTAGTTGACCCACTAGCCTCAGACACGGTGACAAGGGAGGAAGCCGTTTCCTCCTCTTTGTCGTCCACCTCTTCTTTACCATTATCATTTTGAGGATTGGCTTCCTCCCCCTGACCAGCTGTTCGAGTTGACTCCGCCCCTGTGGCCGCCCCACTTCCTTCTTCCAGTCCAATCCCTGAGGCTGGCTGAGGATTTGAATTTCCCGCCAAAACCTCAGGGCCCGCCTCCTTTATCGTTTGCTCTTTGGGTGGGGCGGCCATTTTGTTGTTTTTTAGCTTGTTGGCAAAACTTTGGGGGCAGTCTCTGTAGAGATGGGATGATTCTCCACAGAGGTTGCACTTTCTGCCATTTTTGCACTCTTCAAAAGTGTGTCCAATTTCTCTGCACTTCCTACACACTACTTCTTGGCACGCCTCGGCGAGATGCCCAAGTTGGCCACACTTGCGGCATAGCTTGGGCATCCCTTGATAATGGATGTAACCTCTATTCTCTCCCAACACAATCATAGAAGGAATTTGACTCAGGCCATGGTAGCTGTTGGGATCTGCCCATTGTTTAATGGGCACTCTCCACGCACAGCTCCAGATACCGTCTTCATCTAAAACCTTGACTGGTTGACCACGAATAGAGCAATATCTTGCCAACCATACAGCAATGTCTTCTCCACTAACTGTTTCATTAAACATCCTGACAATCACCACTTTCAGCGAATTATCAGTCAGTTTTTCCACAGTGAACATGGAGAAATTGGCTTTACACAATTCATACCGAGCCCAAAAAGTACTTAGCAAGGAAGCAGAAGCAAAACTAACGTCGAAGCCATGATTCAGGGGCAGAGTCAACAAGCAGTTAATATCAATAGCCTTAAAACCGAGAGTCTGTTGGATGCACTTCCTGGAAAAGTCCAACCTGGACATCGCCTGGAGAGTGCCATCCTCCTTTGTCTTAAATTTAAAACGCACGCTGTGGTGCCTCCTCATGCCGGCACGAGCAGCCGACATGTTGGAGGCACCACTAGCCTGCTGCGGCTAAAATCCAACAATAAATATACAATAAATAAATTAAAACCTGCTTACCTTAAAACCAGAAGATTCCTCGTAGAACGAGTCGTCAATTAAAAGCCGCTTGTCAATGTACCTCCTGAAGGGTGTATGTCCCGTGTGACAAGCAACACACGAGACCAAGTCCAACAAGAGGCGATCGCTGTCTCAGACGTCCGACCAGACCACTTGATCTTAGCCAAAAGGCCGAGAAGCGATGACGCAGCGACGCCGAGGCGGGGGAGCCGGCAAAGGCCACGCCCACCTGGGCCGCGGCGAGAGGGTCTAAGGTCGCCGGCAAACAAGCTCAGCTCAGATTGGTTGACACCGAAAATGGATCACAACAGAGTGCACAGCACGACACTCTGGAGTGCAACCTGGGATTTTGGATCATCAACATTCCGCCTTAAAAGTGAGCGGGCGGACCAAAGCGTCCGTGGTAGAGACTTGAAACTCTGAGGGATGGTAGGACCGGCCCGGTACTACAACCTCACCAAGGCTCGCCCCGATCGGCCCCAAGGTGGCGCTGCAGCGATCAAAAGTACGAAATGGCTCGTAACTCCTCGACCGTCGGTCGCAGACCCAAGTGTCTTACATCACCGGAATCCTTGGCTCGAGCCGAACAAGATGCATGCCTCGGATTGGGTGGT